TGTACCGCGAATCGAAAAGAGGGTGCGAGAGGGTTCGGCGAAACTGTTTTAAAACTCCCGGCAAACAGACATAAACTCTCACGCTTTTTAAAAACCCTTAAAAAAGTTACCCAACCTAATGAAGTAATAAACCATCGTGACCAACGAAGGGACGAAGCTGTGTCATCCGTGAAAAAAAAGGAAAACGATGACTTTCTCTGCAACTACGGGGATGAAAGTAAAAGGAGTGTACGAGAAAAAGTTCCGAGGCAATTGTTCTCTTTCGCAAATCAGTGAATACATTTTCCGCGCGATGTAATTGCGGACATTTAACTGTGTAAAGAGTTAGACGAGACTATTATTGCAATTATAATACCTGAATTTATTTCGCTTCTGTTTCTGAAAAAACGTCCTTTTGGAATTTAACCCTTTCGCGACCAGTTGAACGCGTATGCCTCGCTTGAGTATACTCGAACGAAAATTAACGTGATTTCAGCATTCATTGTGGAATCTGCGAATGGTAGATAAAGAAGATATTCTCAAAAAAATAATTCGATCACGAAAGGGTTAATTACCATTGGACACAATTTTAACCGGGAAAGTCTTCACGGAAAAGTCTTAATTAACAAACATTCGAATATTTGAGAATTTTTTCTGAAATTTTTTAACCTAACTCGCGACAATTTTTGCTCGCATATGACTCGAATGAAAAGAGATTCTGAGAGCAGATCGGTTCGTTTTACTGTCTACGGTGGCAATTTAGAATGAAATACGTAATCGTAAGCGAATTAATAAATTTTTGTTAGACGAGGCACTGAAGCACGATGTTCAATTGAACAACATCCGCGGGAACGTAGTAGACTGGTCGCGAATTACATTCGGATATATTACAAATTGCTCATTATCTCCACGCACATTATGAATCACGCTGGGTGCAAGCGTAAATAGACCGTGCTTCGGCCAACTCGTAATAACTAACGCCCAGCGGTATACATTAACTCTGGATTTATTGTAATTTTCCGCGATTGCTTTATCCACGAATTCGTAACCGTATCCGTGGGTTCGTATTATTCGCATATTTCGCCCGTAATGCATTGTGCGCAAATAGCATAGGTAGCAGCTCTCGCGTGTAAAGTATAGTCTAGGTTGGACGGTTAGTCGACAATCTGCGCTCTCAAATTGCCAGCGTGTCAATATTTGCTCCGTAACAGATAAAACAAAAATTGCTGCGCGTTTCACAAACGAAGTTATCCGTAGGAATTTAATTAGCGGTAAAAAAGAAAGAAAGAAAAACAAAGTCAAATTCGTCCTAGTATCGAATTTAACGAGCGGTTGTTTATACTATGTCGACGGAGTTTTTCGGTTCGATTGAAATCCTTTCGAATAGTAGCAGCCCTATTTGGTTTACGTTCGTTTTGAAAGGTATATTCCTCTTGAAAAGGATAAACTGTCTTTCAACGGTTAATTATTTCACGCACGTTATTTTTGCGCACTTCTTTTTCTGAAATTAGCATTTTCCTAAGTGTAGAACTATTTGTGACGTTTGAACACCGATGGATGTAACGATGCAGGGAAAGAAAAACCGGTATCGCGCGGAAAGACACCTATCGTGTCCTACATCTTCATTTGCGTATTTGGCACACGGTGAGTATCGGGTTATCTTTGTCGGTCGATCGAATCGCTGCCGTTGCTTCAGATGTCGCGAAAGAAAAGTTAGGCGGCAGGGATCGTAATGCCTCGAGGCCGAGCCAGAGCAGCAGCCAGCACGTTGCGCGCCACCGATGAACGTTATCTGCTATCCGAAAGCAGGCGTGTGGCAAATTGTACCTGGGAATCTCGGCTACGGATATTCAGCCTGTAATTATCACCTTCGTGTCGTTTTGCCGCGGGCTAAAACAGTCAAATTGTTACGCGCTCGTCTCTCAGGAAAAATATGCGAGTGAATGAAAGAGTATCAATTTTGGAATCCGCAGACGATTCT